GTCCCCAGGTTCAAGTGTAGATCAGACTCAGTTGACATATGGTGAGACACAATGAGAGGGACAAGGGACTCAGGATGACTGCCAGCTCTCTAAACCCGTAGGGCCAAGTCTGGCTTGTGGAAGAGGCTGAGACTTGCCATGGTAGACATGGCCCTGAATTTGACCCAAACTGTCATTCTAGAGACTCATTTTGCCGGATTCCCCTTCTTACAGACCACACTGAGCTAAGGTTGGTGTAAGTGGGCGCCATGGCGCTCAGAGTGACCAAGGCCGCAGTAGTCTGGCCCTGACCCACACGCTGGGCTTCCATGAAACATGCACAAAAGAAGGAAAGGAAATCCTTCTGGTCCCTTCACTCTGCAATCACAGGAGGGTTTCCAGTCCCATAAAATGAGGCTCCTGGACCCTTCACCCTGATGCTGCATCTGACACAAGACAAGATAGCTCACCCCATCCAACCCCACCCTGCCCAGGTCCTCGGATAGCTCTCCATGCAGCTCATCTTCCTGACCTCAGATTCCCTTCCAGGAGCCCCCTCTTCCACATTAACTGCACCCTTCATCCCACCTCTCTGTTACCCATCGCCTGGAACTCTATACTGTTGTTTATCTGTGATGGAAAACAGCCCTCCTGTCTTTACATGTGCACTTGATCTCTCTATAAATACAACATTGCCTTAACATGAATTAAAAATATTCATAACAAAGTCTATGATGTCCTTGCTCTAGGTAAGACACGATGCTAAAGGATTTTACATGTTATCCTGTACTTAATTTCCTGTCCTTCAGCTAGGTCCTTTTATGACCCCATTTTACAGATAAGGAGGCTGAGGCTTAGAAAGAATACTGGCTGAGCACCCCACAGCCAGGAGGTGCCGAAGCTGGGATTTAAAGGCAGGCAGTCTGACTGCAGAGCCCAGCCGTTTAACCATAACACACAGCTGTCCTTTTCTGTTCCCCATTACTTTGGAGCACAAATGTTTGGGATTCAAAAGTAAATTGTGTTTTCTGACTACATGCCCTCAAAATGCGTGTCCAATTATACTTACCCAGATAGGTGAGCTGTCTCAATTGGCTATCAAAGAACCAGTCACAGCCTTGGTCCTGATCAGGTGATGGGAGAGACGGAAGGGCCCGCCCCACACGACTCCCACACTTTAAAAGGATGTCAGGATAAGACCACATGTCTCTGTGCACCAACAGCAGGTAATTTCCGGGAGCAAAGCTGTCAAATGTTGCGGAGTACTTGAAGTGAGAGAAAAGTACAAAAAGGCTCATTTAGTAAGGAAGGCTTCCCCCTCCCCACCCCCCAAAAAAAAGAGCTACAAAGAACTCAGTTGGAGTAGCACAGAAATAGGACAGTTCACAGCAACGACTTTCCTGGTGGTAAATGGGCTTCCTTAAATTGACTCCGTAACAAAATCATAATGAAAGCTAAGACATCCTACCATGTGAGGACTGAAAGTCACCAAATTCTTTTTATTTAAAATTTTCAATTCACAGAGGAGACAACCGAAGCTCGGACAAGCGAACTGACTTGTCAAACAGCAAGAAGAGACAGAGCCACGCCGAGAACGCCTTTCCAGTCTTCCCCACAACTCACACAGGGGGGCAATGACAGCAGTGCCGCCCACTTAGAACAGTAACAGCTCACACTGTCGAGCATTTGGTACGTGCTCGGGTCATATCAAGTCATTCAGTGATATGATATTGAGCCAATGATTTTGACTGCTATGAGTCGTATCAAGGCATTCGATCCTTAGAAGATCCTGGGGGATTGTCACGAGTACTGCCCCATTTTACAGATGGGGACACGGAGGTAGGCAGTGGTTCAGTAACCTTCCCCACATCACAAAGCAGGAGAGTGCTGATGTGGGAGAGAAACCCAGGTGCCCACCGCCAGAGGCACCATTCTACTGCCTTCATCTTCCCAGGGTGGAAGGGAGAGAGGGGCGCGTACTTTCTGAGAGCCCTGCTGAGACTCAAGAGGATTCTGCTTTGAATTCCTCAGAACTGTGGCACACCTGTTTCCCACTCCCTAAGACCTGTTCTCATGACCCTTAGGAAGAATGTATGTAATGAGATAGGAAGAAAGAAGTGTGTTAAAAGGAAGAAAAGCAGCTTGAGAGAATCACTGGATTTTTTTTTTCAGAAAATGCACCCACTTTCCACATGGTTATTCCTACCTTCCCTCTACAACCTCAGACCATCTGACTCCACCCAAAGGCCAACGAGACCTTCATGTGCAAGTTAATCTTTGACCACAAGGTGGCAGTGTGCAATGTGAAAATGCCTTGTGAAGACATTTTTCTCTTGGCTGTAAATAAATATTTCTCTGGGGTAAATTGGTTCTTAACCCATAATAGAAGAATACAATCCCACAGAATGCTTCGAAGCTGTCTTTCATTGTATTAATAAAGTTAAAATTTCATGCAGGACCATTCTGTGTTCAAGGTGAAATTTAAACAGATTCTAAAAAATTCAAGTTTAAAAAAAGAAAAATACGTATCTCAAATTCAGGTTACACTCACCTGGTCAAAATTCTGCTGTAGTTTTCTTGATCTGCACCAGAAGATACTAATACCTGCAAACTATTATGTCACAGAAGGAAAGATGGGAACCCCTGGGGAATGGAGCCTGCCAGCGACTGGGTGCTGGGGGTTACCTGCAGAGAGCTGTTGTTGGTCCAAGGGCTCTCAAATCGCAGTGAGTAGGTCTCTTGATCCAGGAGCAGGGCCATCCAGCCATTAGGGTTAGACAGTGTGTCGTGCACATAACTGACAGTGGTGGTCTTGTTCCCGCTGTCCGTTATGGTTAAATCATAAGAAAGTTTCGGGGCATTGGCTCTAGGATGATTTAAAAGGAAAAAAAAAAAGACTGTAAGTTATTTGTCCATCCTGGATCTAAGGCATGCCCACGCCTCTTCCATCAGTTGTAATCCATCTTCTACCTTCTCCACGTATGTTTCTTGTCCGGATGTCTATGGAGGTTTTAGTGGTCATGGTGTGGATCCAAACAGGAATGGCCTCAGCCACCATTCCCCAGCACAAAGAGGCCCCAGCTCCCCTCCTGTGGGCTTACACTTCTGCCACAGTGCCTCAGTGCTGGTGGGTTTGCATCTGTGTTTGCCAACATGGACTGTGACATCCCTGAGTTAGATACATTTCTCTTTTTTTAGCTAATCCTGCCTCCGACACCAGGCCCTGCACACAACACGTGCTCAGATCACATCTGTCGCATGAACAGAGGATGCACGGAGGAACTCTCCCCAAAGCAGCTGGTACCAACCTCCCAACGTACAGAAAGGGTTTCCAGAAGAACTGCATTTTACCCAAGTGAGGAAACTGAGGCCGAATACAGCAAAAGGAGTATGCGGGCGTCACGGCTAGAACTGGAAGGTTTTAAGTTTCTACAACTTATTCTACACAGCCCATCCCAGAAAGTGATTTTTAAGACTTCACTAGAATGTAAATAGATTTTGCCCCATGCTAGACCCTAAAAGAAAGTCAAAATGGATAGAAAAAAAAGTAAAGCAAAAGTTGGGAAAAAAAGTAAAGCAAAAGTTAAAAAAAAAAACCAACACATATTATGACTGTCCTTCCCCCTCTGGTTTAGTTTTCATGAGAATCTTTTAACTGTGGCATTTGCTGCAGGCAGATAATTAAATTCTCAAAGTAGAGGGAAATGAGACAAAGGAGGATGTTGGGTCTTCAAAGTGAGGTGGGGCCGGAGCACATGGAAAGCCAATTTACAACCCACTGGCATATTATAAAGAGGAAACTGGTTTTAGTGTTAAATGCTTGGGCACCATTGTCAAACAGGGGTCAATCTGCATCTGCGTTCACAAGGTGTATGAACTTGGGGGGATCACCAGCCCTCTTTAAGTTTTAATGTATTTCTTTTTATAATGGAGACAATACAGTATGTAGCTTACATAGTGACTGTGAAACTTACAGCAATAATCTACGTACGCAGCTAACCATCACCAAGGCCAACAACGTCGACCTACGGCTCATCGAAGAGAGGACCTCAGACGTGGCAGGTTTGCCACTCTGGCTCCTTATTTTAACGTCTAGAGGTTTATCCAGGATATCTGCTCACTTAACAGCACACTCAGAACCTTTGGCGGTACAGAGCTTTCGCCCTGGCAGTGCAGTACTTGATACATATTTCTTGGAAGGTCAAGTGTGTTTGTGTCATCTATCAACTAACAAAATGACAGGGATGAAGAATGCTCGGGGCACCTGGAATGAAAGAACCGCTCTTTCCCAGATGTCCCAATGCAACAGCCACGGAGCCTTTAGAAATCTCGGTGGGGGGACTTCGTCCTCTCTTTGGAATTGGATACCCAGGGCTTTAGGATTTAGGTGGGAACTAAAGGACAGTCCTGGACTCATAGTCTCAGAATCAGAATGGGCATGAAGGTCGCTTGTTCCAGCACCCAGTCCCCTGTAGGAATTCCCTCTGTATTTTGTCTTCCAGTTGTGGGATGTTCACATCCTCAAATTCCTCCTCCATTTATGAAATTTATTTTTAAATTTTAGACAAGCTTTAGGAACCTTCATTTCCTTCCTTGTATTTTCTAGCCTCTCTCCTCAGCCATCACAGATCTCTCTCCCTCTGACTGAAACCCAGGAGTCCCAGGAGATCACCCAGCATGATTCAGCCCAACTAATTATTTAATAAACGAAGATAGGCTTCTGGGAAATAAATGTAAAACAAATGTGATCAGAACAGATAAGTTGGAACCGAGAAATACCAAAGAGGCAAATGAGTTAGGCTCAGTGGGTACCGTGGTCAGCATATATCATGAAGGGTTCCTCACAGTCCAGAGAGTGATTCAGAGTGTTTCAGGTTCTTAAAGTGCCGACCTTCAGCTTTCACAGAGATGTATGGGCTCTGGAAAGTGAACCACAAGACCTATCTCCACGAGAGACATACTGATAAATCAGAGTTTCCATTTAACAATTCACAGTGAGTATTTACAATAGCTAAGACCTGGAAACAACCTAAATGTCCATCAACAGGTGACTGGATAAAGAAATCGTAGTATACAGGTACACAATGGAATACTACTCAGCCATAAAAAAGAATGAAATAATGCCATTTGCAGCAACATGCATGGACTTGGAGATCATCATTCTAAGTGAAGTAAGTCAGAAAGAGAAAGAAAAATACCATATGATATCACTCACATGTGGAATCTTAAAAAAAGAGACACAGATGGACTTATTTATAAAACAGAAACAGACTCATAGACATAGAAAACAAACTTAAGGTTACCAGCAAGGGAAGGGGGGTGGGAATGGATAAATTGGGAGTTAGAGGCTTGCAAATAGAAACTACTATACATAAAATAAACAACAAGTTTGTTCTGTATAGCACAGGGAACTATATTTAATATCTAATAGTCACCTGTAATAAAAAAGAATATGAAAATGAAAATATGTATGTATGTATATGTATGACTGAAACATTATGCTGTATACCAGAAATTGACACAACATTGTAAACTGACTCTACTACAATTAAAAAATAATTCAAAGTGAGAAATGAAACTGCCTGTCACATAGTAGGTACTCAACAAATGTTTGTTGAGTGAATAAACGAGTATTAATTGAGAATAGAGCACTCCAACTGGCCAGTTAGTGATGTTTCTTCCCAGGGAAATCTACCCAGAAAGCCACATAAGTATCAGGAGGTTTCTTGTAAACTTATGCATCAAAGGAGACAAGCGATTGATGATACTCATACGGTCATTTGCCAAGAGGATTTAAAGACTTAGGTTCAGTGGTCAGAAAACCTCTCCTGGGCACATCCGAACAATCTGCACTCACCATGGGCTCTGGTTTAGCAAAATGTTAAGATTTTCTTATGAACTTAGATTTCTTCTATCCTGGTCAAGTGCTCTCAGTTAAACCACTTTTACAAGTAGGGGTCTGAGGTTTGTTTGTTTGTTAACTATAGACCAAAGGAATTCTATTTGTTCAAGCTCATCCGTCTGTTCATGTTTAACTCCTCTGACCTGTATTCTGTCACGGTTTCCTTCAGAGACCATGCATATTTCCAGAAATTCTTCCTCCTTTCAGCACTGTAGCCCCAAGATTCCCCTTGGTCACTTGGACTAGAGTTACTTATTTCTCAAATTTCTGTTAGCATCACATTTATAAATCAGTTTTAGCATCTGATTTCTCCTGATTCAGTTTCTTACAGATTGTCATTTCAACTCTTCAAGGAGCCATGTCTCAGGCCGTACTCCCCAGTTTCTGAAAGCCCCCATAAACATGACCCTGTCTTCAAATATCGTAAAACCGCTACACGCCAACATTAATTCAGTTCAATTTGTCTTGGGGGCTTTGGTACCTTCCTTTGGACGCCCTTCCTCCATCCAGCATCCGGTATAATCTGATGCTAATCCCTTGATCAACCAGAGACGCAATCATAGCACATTGTGGTCCTAAATTATCCTTTCCCCTTCCTTCTCCATGCACTGCCCTGAGCCTCTCAGGCTGCCCCAACCATCTCAACCAAGACTGATGTGGGATGCAATTTCACAGGTCCTCGTGGGCAGCACCAGCTTTCTGTAATGTAATCCAGGTATAGAAGAAGGTTATCAAATACACCTTTATCACAGATAGCAATGGAAAGGGTCACATGCTGCATTCTGAAAAAAGCAAATCAAAATGCAAAGGAGCCATCTCCCCGGAGGCAGGATGCCTCGAGTTGACCATCAGCCAGGGGGCCAAACATTCTAAGTCAAATCAGCTCCCATCCTTTTAGGCCAGGGGCCAGCAGTGACGGTGGTGGGCTCCTCTGAAAAGCACCAAATGAACATCAAGAGAAGAAGGAAACCATGAAGAGAATTTACCAACCATAATTACTACAATTTTCGCTTGCCCTAAATAGCCACCAATTTCCCCATGCCCTAAATAGCCACCAATCTCCCTCTCTTTACTGTTAATGAAGCAAAGGAGCACACAAGTATTTCTAATTTGGAGGAGCCAAGGGAGTCTGCATGGGCCATTAGCAGCAAAGAGCTTCATTACTAGGGGAAGAAGTCTCTCCCTGAACTTCTCGTGGCTTTATGTGCAAGAAATCAGGAGGCAACCAGTCCATTTGAAATGTTAACCCTTACCTCTGCAACAGCTCCTGCATACAATCAAAGACAAAAGGACGACAAGCCTTTCTTTTTCTCTGGGGTAGCTTAAATTTTTTTTTTAATCACTGAGCCTGTTTTTAATTAAGGGACATTTTCCTTTAGAAATATAGCTCTATCCCTTGATAAAACATCCCAACCTAAGTACCAGTTTACAATACTAGTTGCATAAACAGTTATGTAACGCAGCGCCCATGGGCTGGGCAGGGCTGTCGAATGTCTGCTGCCTGCAGAGGATTTGTTAGGCAGTCAACAATCCCAGTGAGAACAAATATTAACTCCCTGGTTCGTGTTTACCATTAGCTAACTTTTCCTGAGGCTCCGCATCTCTGTGTATTAAGACAAACATGGCACTGAGCTCTAAATGCTCTAAATTCAGAACAATTGTGAAATAAACCCTTTATAATTATGCAGCTCCTAAGCCAGACACATCATAACAACTGGCCCCAAAGGATGCTGTCGGCACTGCCTGGGTATCCCTGCTTGCTTTTGCGCTCATCTCCCACCGCACAAAGAGGACAAAAGCAAAATGTTCAGCATCGCCAGCAGATTTTTGTGGCAAGGCTTCACTTGAGCACCCTTTAAAAATACACTGGGCTCATAACAAGTCCTTGTCCGAGAGCCACTCTTCCACCTGCTGACCTGCCATCACCCAGTAACATCTTACGTGTGTCAGTAAGCGATTTTTTT